AACATTCGCTCGAAGAGGACAGTCTCGTCGAGTGGTATTTGGAGTGTTCTGGCAGCGGGCGCCGCGGGGTTGCGGTCGTTGACCGACGGCGAGCTCGATGGGCGAGGCGTGCGCCGATGTTTTCGCTGGGCCCAGGCGCCCACGAGGAGTTCGACGTTGTCAGAGGGGGGGGGGCCTGCGCGAGCGCAGGGCATCGGGCGGACGCCCAGCGCGCAGCGCAAGATTGGGCAGACGTCCGCGACGAGTCAGTCGAAGCAGCGATGCCGGTCCAGCGCAACCCCTGCCGGAGCGATTTGGAGGTGGAGCGCGCGTTCGACCTGCAGCGCAAGAGTCGCGCCGCCGCCCCCTGTCGGCGCGCGGCGCCGCGCCGAAGCGCGCCGGGCGGGCCCAGCGACCTCTCTGGGGTGCAATGCTGCGGTGGGCTGGTACATCCCAGGGGCGCGCCCACATGGGCATGGCGGGGGCAAACGTTGGTCGGCGGGGAGATCGCCTTCTGCTTTCCGATGGCATGGATGCGGCACTTGCAGAGGAGGCTCTGGCACTTGCCCCGCGCGATGCGTTGCCCCCAGCGATTTGACGAAGAGGGGGGGAGCTCCGTCCGGGAGCGTTGCGGCTTCTTCGGCGGTCTGTCACCCCCTGGCCCTGGCGGCAGGTCTGGCCCGGGTGAAAGGGGCCAGGGCCTCGTCGGTCAGGGCGAAGCGCGGCGCCGGCGCCGGCTCTGGGATTTCCTGGCGGCGCTCCGCTGTGAAGGCTTCCTGCGCTGGGGTTGCGTCGCCCGAGCAGGGCGCCGCGCCGCGGCGTCTCCGTCGGATGGATCCCCGCGCGTCCGCGATAAGTTTGAACGCGGCTCTGGCGTCTGCCAGGATTGAATTCTGATTGATTGGCATTGGGGCAGAGACCTCGGCGCCACCCTCGTCGCCCGCGATTGAATCGCGCGGGGCGGTGGCGGGAGCTTCGCTGGAGTGCGGATGCGCTTCGGGCGCGCCCCCGGCGTCCGACGCAGGTGGACAGCGTTGGAGTTGTCGGTTGTTTTGACCCTTTGGCTTTTCGCTCGGCCTCCGTCGCTGGCTCTCGCCAGTGCTTTCCCGGCCGGCACTGCCGGCGTGCGTCAGTGGAGCTTTCGTCTGATCGACGGCCTTTCCTCGGCCGCGCGTCGGAGCTGATCAGGCCATCGAGTAGCCTGTCGGTCGGGGGCGCGTCGCAGTCCCAGACGCGCGGGGGTGGGGCGGTAGCGTTTGGCATGGACATTCCTCGCGGCCCAGGTCTGCATGATCCGCCCCTGGCGTCTTGGGCGGCTGCTGCCGCGCTCGCCTCGGCACTCCCGCCGGGGTGCCGGCCTTGCTGCGCTGCCCCGAGTTGCCGCGAGAGTTTCTCGAGGCCGATTGTGGAGCGGCGGGTTGCCCCTCGTGCTGCGTGGACAGGCTGGGCGACGTGGGCCCCGCGGAAGCGCGGGGCACTGCCGCGTCACGTCGGCTGTTTGCCGCGGTTTTGTGGTTAGCGCTTGCCGCGGAGCTCCGCGCGGAAAGCGCGCGCCGCGTGGTTCGCCGGGCCGCAGGTCCGGTCCGCGTCGCCGGCGGCGTCGACCTCGCCCATTCGAGCGCGGTAGACGCGTTCGACGCGGCCCCTCAAGGCTTGCTGCCCGTCTCAATCAGTCGCGGGGTCAACGGGCGGGCGGGGCGCGACCGCCGTCAGTCTCCTCGCCGGGCGCCTGGTGACATGAGGTCGACCGGGGCCGGGGGCCCCGGGCATTACTTGGCGGGGGGGAGGTCGCTCGGGGGGGCAAAGCCGGCAAACGCGCGCCCCCCTTTCTTAAAGAGTTGGCGATAACGTAGCCGACGTGCTTTCTCCCAGCAGCCGCAGATCGACGTCCCAGTCGACGTCTCGGCCGCAGGCGCACGCCCGCTCATCTGGACACCCTGTCGCGACGCTTGTCCGCCCGAGGGCGAGGGCGTTCGCGTGGAATGCCGTGCCGAATCCTTGACGTCGCATTGGGCGTCGACATGCGGCGCGTCACCCACCCTGTCGGATGCCGCCCAGACCTGTTGGAACATGGCTGCGGTGTCTACGCCCCCCGATTCAGCGCAGATCGACGCAGCGCGCGCGCCTTTGGCAATGCCCCTTCTCTTGCCCCCCCCCCCGCGCGGGGGCGGCCATCGGGGTGGATGGGAGGAGGGGCTTCTGTCCAACGCGCGGTCGCGAGGAGGGCGGTGACGGTTGGGTCGTCTGTAGAAGTGCCCACAAAGCTGCGCGCGCACCGACGCAGACCCCCCCATGCTTACAATGGCGGCGTCGAAGTGGATTTTGTGGTCGGCACCACCTCAATGGCTCGTCGCCCTCGGGGTCGAGTCCCCGAACGGATCGCCTTGTTTCGCCCCCTTGTGAGCGGATGCTATTGTTGGAAGTGAATGCGGTCGGCAGGGCTGTGGGTTCTTTTGGAATGCAGGGATGGTGGCCCCGTGGTGTCCCCGCAGCCGGGCGAGTCCGTCCCGTTTGGCATTTAGACTGCTGCCATTGGCGCCCGCGAGATTGGCCATCCGGGGGCCGTCTCCGTCAGTGAAGCTGGGGTCGTTTCTGGTCTTTCGTTGTTTCCAGGGTGCTTGGGCCTGCTGGAGGTGGCTCACCACCCACCAAACCACCCCAACCCAACCCGAAGGCCCAAATTTATCCTCGATTTCCAGTGGGGGGGGGTCGGGGAACGTTGAAAAAACACGTGGTATCCGTACCCCCCCCCCAACCCGAAATTCGGGTCAAATTCGGGTCTTCGGGTTGGGTTGGGGCGGTCTGGTAGGCAGTCAGTGGCCTCCTCGCCAGGCGCCGCGCCCGCGTCGGCCGGTTCGGCTGCTTCCGCTTCGCCGCTGCCGTCGCTGTCCCTGTTGCTGGCATCGCTGGGCAGGGCGGGGCGGCTGCTCGCGCCAGGGTCGAAGTCCGCGTCTCGTCGTCGAGGCCGACTCGTCGTCTCGTCGTCTCGTCGTCGTCGTCGTCGTCGTCGTCGTCGTCGTCGTCGTCGTCGTCGTCTCGTCGTCGTCGTCGTCGTCCTCGTCGTCTCGTCGTCGTCGAGGCTCTCGTCGTCTCGTCGTCGTCGTCGTGCCCGGCAGCCGTAGTCTTTGCGGGCCGCAGGCCTGGCCAGGCACACGGACATGGAGACGGGAGGTCGGGTGGATGAGAGAGGGGGAAGAGACGGAAGAGGACCAGTGCACATTCAAAATTCGTCAACAATGTTGAACTACACCCTCTCTCCAAGATCCGTCTTCACAGGCCTTTTCAAGGGATGATTTCTACTGCAGGAATCGCCCCCATTGGGGGGGGCAACCTTGTGAACATTTTGAAGCGCGCGTCATCGCCATTCTCAGGATGTCAACGCCGCGTGTCAGTCTGACTGTTACGCGCTGGCGATCCTGAGTCGTGCCAGAACGCCCTTTCTGGAACTTCAATGCTGCATAGCAACATAACTGTTGCGCTCTGACAATCCTGAACCGTTCCAACACACCGTTTCCAGTACGCTAGCCATGATAAGCAATGAAATTGATACACCTGTTTAAGACGAAGGTGCGCGGCGCCAAGGCGAGAGACGCATTTTGCCCCCCAAAAAAAACGTTTTCAATTCGCAAAGCGGTTGCGTCTGTTTAAATCGAATGGGCGCAGCGCGAAGGCGAGAACAACAATGTGACCCCCCCGCCTTCCGTGTTTGAAACTGAATGCAACTCGTTTGAAAGAGTACGCGCGACGTGTATACGAAAGCCACATGTTGAAAACGAATAGCCCAGAATCCGTGGACTTTGCAAATGTTTGAACCGTGCGCGGCGCTGAGGCGAGAACAACATTTTGAAAACGAGCCGTCCTCAACCCGCGAAGGTGCTGCAATTTGTGAAAACGAATGCGCGCGGCGCGAAGGCGAGAGCCACATTTTGAGAACCACCCACCCTCAAATTGCGACATTGCTGCAATTTGTTAACCGAGAGCCACATTTTGAACACCACCCGCCCTGAATCCGTGACAGTTTGGCAATTTCTTGAAATGAGTGCGCGCGGCATTAAGGCATGAACCACATTTTTTGTAAAAAACACCCGCCCTCCTTTTGTGAAGCTCTCTCAATGTTAAGCGTGAGGGTCATACTTGGTGAGGAAAGGGGAGTGCAGGACGCAGGATAGTGGAGCTGCGAGGTGGGAGAGGAGGGAGGGAGGGCGGGAGGATGAAGAACGGAAGTGGAGGGTGGAGACAGGTGAGACGAGGATGATGGGGATGATGAAGGCGGGGGGAGTAGGCGTCCGATGCGTCGAGGGGGGGGCGTGGGCGTGGGCGACGCAGGCAGACCTCTGGCACCACAATTCCTCGAGCCGCCGGCCCCTGGAGCTTCCGACCTCTTCCTTAAGGCTGGCTCCTCATCCTGCCTCGCTTCCTGATCTCAGGAGGGGAAAAACACACAGACACAATGAATCGTCGATTCCCCAGAAAATATGGGAAGTGGGGGGAAGACGATGGCCCAGAAAATATGGGAATATATGGGGAATCCTGTTATTTGTGTGTGTGTGTGTGTGTGTGTGTGTGTGTGTGTGTGTGTGTGTGTGTGTGTGTGTGTGTGTGTGTGTGTGTGTGTGTGTGTGTGTGTGTGTGTGTGTGTGTGTGTGTGTGTGTGTGTGTGTGTGTGTGTGTGTGTGTGTGTGTGTGTGTGTGTGTGTGTGTGTGTGTGTGTGTGTGTGTGTGTGTGTGTGTGTGTGTGTGTGTGTGTTTGTGTATCCCAGGGCCCCTTCATGATCGGCCCACAGCCTGGCCACGGCCCATCCGGACGGCGAAAACCGTGTGGCGTGATTTTTTGTTGGGCCGCCAGCGGCCTGGGTGGGGTTGCCAACGGTGCTCCTGGCCCCAGGCCCCCCCTGCTGGTCGCGCCACCTCGGGGGCCCTGGAGCCCTCGGGGTCTCGTGCGGGGTGCTCTGGAGGCCACTCCTCTGGGCCAGGGGCCCTCTCGGGCGACCCCCGAGAGCGGGACGGCGCGGGAGCCGCAGGTTCCGTCGGCGCCCCGGTGCCGCTGCAGATGGCGGTTCCCGTGGACGGCCAGCGGCCCCGCAGCAGGCAGCCGCAGGAGGGGTGGGGCGCCGGGCAGGGCGCGGGGACGGCGGCGGAGGCGGCGGAGGCGGAGGGCGGCGGCAGCGGCGGCGGCGATGGCCTCCCGAGAGCGCGCGACGGCGCGGGGGGCCGCCAGGGCGTCCAGTCCGCCGCGGCCCTGGGGCTCCCGCTGCTCTGCAAGGTCGTAGCGCCGCAGGCCCCCAAGGGCGGGGGGGGCGCGCAGGCCGGCAGGCCGGCGGGGTGGCAGGCACCCCGAGATCCTGGCGCCAAATTTTTCTTGTTGCGCCAGGCGTTCTCGCCCGTTTCCGGGCCCTGGGGCCATCACGGCTCGATCCGGCTTGCGAAACGACGAACGAACAGCAACACGCACACATACACACACCATACCCAAAGGGGGGGCGGCGGGGGCTATGGGTGCGTGTTGTCGGATGGGGGTCCCCGCTCGAACGGGAGCCCCACCTGGGGTCCGACAACCAGCACCCATACCCGTAGCCAGTCCTCCTCCCTCCAACCTCCCTGTGGGTGTGTATTGCTCAGTCGTCGTCAAATGCAACAAGAAGATGGGGTCCACGGCCCCGGCCGTGAATTTCCACGGTGCTGTAATTATTCCGCGTCGTCGGCCCGTCGGGGAGGGTTGGCAGGCAGCACGAGCTGGAGGAGGAGGAGGCTCGAGGTCTTTGAGCGCGTCTGGCCTCCGCCGAGGGGGCTCGGCGGCGGTCCCACGCTCGAGCGCCGGACGCCACTGCGGCGAGAGCGCCTGCGGCCTGCCGCGCTCGGAGGCGGGCCCGGCTCGGGCCAGGGAGGGCCCGCCGCCTGGGAGCGGCCAGCGCTGCCTTTTGGCCCCGTGCTGGCCTGCCGCTCGACGCTCGACGCTCGATCCGTGCCCCTTTCTCGCCCCAGGCAGTTCTTCGGGCCGGCGAAGGTCGGACTGGAGTTATGATGTTCCAGCCTATTGTAGCCTTGATCACCGGAAAGAATTTCGAGCGCCCAAGAAAGTACCGAAACTCGAGGGTTTTCACGTGTCGGGCCCTGGGAGACATTCGCCCGACACTGTTTCGACACTCTTTTGACACTTTTCCGGATGCTCGAAATTATTTCTGGGATGCGGTCCTTAAGTAGGATGGGAGCAACATAAGACTAGAGGGGTTGCTTCCATATGCTTCCCAGGGGCCCTCCTCAGTTTCACAAGAGGCTTGGGACCATGGACCTCCGAGGGCCTTATCCTCATCCTTATCCTTATCCTGATCCTCTTCCCCCTCCCCCGCCTGTCCCTTCTCCCCTTCCCCCCCGCCCCTCCACCTCCGCCCCGCTCGACGAGCGACGCTCGATCCACACTCCTACTGCTGCCCCCCCACCCCGGGCGCCTGGGGGAAGCACCGGAAAGGTTTCGGCTGGAGCGTGCAGAAAAACGATGCGCATCACATCTTTGAGAGTGTATATGCATCTTGGTTCTGATTCCATCCTTGTTGACTTCTCGGCGCATCCAGCTTACACGCAGGGCGCTGAAAGTAGGTACTTCTGGATTCCCAGATCCCAATCTACTTTAGGCGCCTTCCTACTCCAAGGATCGACAGGTGTCCTTCTTCCCTCCTCGTCAGGGGGCGGGCGGAAGCCCAGTCTACTTCCAACGCCTTCCTATTTGTTTCTACCCACCTCTTCCGACCAGCGTGTTGTCCGGTGTTGTCTTTTCGATCCGTTGTTCCCTTCCTCCGTCTCCACGTCCTCCGCCTCCTCCTCCTTCTCCTCCTCCTCCTCCTCCTCCCTCCTCCTCCTCCTCCCTCCTTCCTCCTCCTCCTCCGTCGTCGTCCGACCCCACCGAGCCACCCCTCCCTGGCAGGGAGTCAAGTCCTCCACCTCCCGGCTCTGCAGGGGCAGTGCGCCGCAGGCGGCGCGGGGCGGGCCGGGGGGGGCAGAGGAGGAGGAGGGCGGACGAGAGGGGGGGGAGGAATTGGAGGGAGGAGGAGGAGGTAGAGGAGGAGGAAGAGGAGGAGGAGGACGAGTAGAAGAAGAAGAAGAAGAAGAAGAAGAAGAAGAAGACGCAACATAAGAAGAAACATAAGGACAAGAAGAAGAGCAGGAGGTGTTTTTTCCTTGCCTTGATTGTCGTACTCTCAGGGAGGAAGTCTTGCCGCTTGGGTGATGATAGTCGTGTGTGACTCGTGGAATGCCTCTGGCGTCTCGGGGTGTGCGATGAGGATGACGAGGAGGAGGTGGAGGAGGTTGAGGTGGAGGTGGATGTGGAGGTGAAGGGCTGAGGTGGAGGAGGATGGGGGGAGGAGACGGCTGGCGCCTGGTCTCCCTCGACGGGTCGGGAGCGCTTTCTGCAAGGACCCTCGGCTCAGGCGTGTAGGATGGGGTGCGGGAGTTTGGTCGGAGGATGTCCGTAGGCTCGGCAGTCTGTCAGGGAATCTCGTACCACCAGCAGAGCTGCGCTGGCAGGGGCCACAGAGCTCCACGGGCACACTGGCGGGGATCTCATAGTGGTCACCGGGGGTCACCACAGAGGGCCACGCAGGATGCATGCATCCAATGGCAGGCTCTGGCAGGAGGGCTGGTCAGCATTTGAGGCACACTCTGGCCACGTAGATTGCTTCAAAGTCCAGTCTCACCTCTCAGAAGAGGATCGGGACAAGTACCCAGTAGTCTGGGCCGTGGAGGCCAGAGGATCTGTCGATCGGTTGCAGGTGAGGGCGCCTCCCAATTTCAGGTGCCCGAGGTGTTTTCCCAACCAGTGTTTGAGCTCGACTTACTGGCTGAACACATTCGGGGTCGGCATGCAGCAATCCACATGCCGTGGTGGACACACTATCCAGTCCAGGAGCTCCCTACGGAGATCAAGAAGGCCACGCGACGGGAGAGACCAGAGCAAATGTTCTCACACCTCTTGAGCACAACAGCTCACCGGCCAGTGCTTGAAGGAGATGAGGATTTTGTTACCGGTGCTTGTGCAGAACTCAGAAGCGTAGAGCTAGCAAGAGGCCCAGGAAGTTCAGTACTGCACCGCCGCCGCCCCCTCCGATGTTGCACGGTCAGCCTGCTTCAGTCAGAGGGCCTGAGGTTGCGCGGTCAGCCGGCTCCACTCGGCGGGGAGGGCGGGCGGTCGGACAGTCAGATTGTTGTAGCGCAGTTCCCAAAGGGCGGCCACCACGTCCACCCCACCCACCACCCACCACCCACGTTTGCCTATGCGGCGGGGTATGCTGCGGTGTCGTACTTGTTGGTCCTGGGGCGTGCAGGTCTCCAGGAAGTTTAAGGAAGTCTGCCTGCCCCCACACGCCAGCCAGAGTGGGGGGAGCAAGCCGTTAATGAGCTCGACAACAGGAAGTAACCCCCCATGCCTCAAAGCATGGCCCCAGAGGAGCCTTTAAGCCCACCCGGGCCCTCTTAGTACGTGAGGATCAGGACCGCAAGATCGCAGTCGCTTGCAGAGGAACGGGAGGAGGGAGAGAGGGAGGAGGACGAGGAGGAGAAGGCGGAGCGGGCTCCGCTCCAGGAGGGAGCTGCACGGAAGCCTTCCAGCGAGCGAACAGGTTCTCGACACGTGCATCAGGAGGGGAAAAAACACATAGACACAATTCATCGGCGATCCCCAGAAAATATGGGAAAATATGGGAAGTGGGGGGGAAGACAGAAACCAAGAAAATATGGGAAAATATAGGATTATTTTTATTTTTGTGTGTATTTATTTGTGTGTCCCAGTTCCCCTTGAATGCAGTTCAACGAGGTCTCCACCGATACGGTCGGGGCGCTGAAGAAGGAACCCTTTTCGTTGGGGAGGGGCTCGGTGTTCCCTGATTGTTCTGCAGCCTGCCTCAGGTTTTCATTCGGTTCTCCATGGGAGGTCGAAGTGTAGCTTATGGTTAAAAAGGGGCCTCGCTCCTTATTTAGGGTTCCTTAGGTCAACGCCCCGACTGTAGCCCCGTTTTGAAAAGAAGCCGCCCCCCATCTGATGCACAGGTACACATTCATGCCCATCAAGTTTGAGGGGAGTCCTGAGCGCGAGCCCCGCCTTGAAAAGGAGCCACTCTCCACCAGTGCAAGTGTTATGTCTGTTCAACTGTTTTGTCGTGAACATGCGGGCACCCCACTTCGCCTATTGCACAGGAGCCGTCCTCTGTCCCTGTAAGTGTTGCAAGCTTTCAAGGCCAGTCTGCGCAGCGCTAAGTCGAAGGCCCATTGAAACAGCCCAAATAACGATACGCCCTCCATCCACCAGAGAATTTGAACACGACTGCGCGCGACGCTAGGGCCATGATCCTCTTTTGAAAACGCATCGCTATCTGTCCTTCCTCAAGTGTCAAGCTTCCGGATGCCTATGTAGTGAATGAGTATTCAGGGGGAACGCCCCGCCCGCCCTGCCGACATGTACCGTTGTGCGCCAGGGAATCGTTGCCTATACGGAAAATCTATGGATGAGGTCGGCGAGGATGATGAAGAGGACAGTGGGGGGGAAGGAGGGGGCTGAGGAGGGTATGGACGAGGAGGAGGGTGAGGAGCAGAACCATCGTGTCTGCTGTAGGCTGCCGCATGGGTGCCGAATCCCAGATTGGACGTACTGAAACGAAAACCTCAGTGGCTGACGTGCAGATACGATCACCATTAGGAGGCGGAGACGAGAGGATGGACCTCGATGTGGAGAGGGCATGGGAGAGGGAGAGGCCAGAATGGGGGAGGAGCCGTTGATGTGAGCTGAGCGTCTCTTTGGGCCTCCTGGAGGCCTCTTGGGGCGGAAGGCTAGGATTTTCTGTTCGTGTTCCCTCTTTGGGGCCCCTTCTGGGACGTCGTGGGGCCCTCTTGGGCCGTTTTGGGTGCCTCTTGGGCTGGCTGGGGCCCTCTTAGGCCGTGTGGGTGCCTTGTTGGAGGCCTGGCCGTCTTGACGCGGTTTTGCGAGCTTCTAGGGCCGCCTTGGAGCGTCGGGAAGCCGAAAAGGCGAGAACGCCAAATTCCTTCAAAACCTTATGAGACACTACTGATTTGGGCCTCCTCTTGGAGGCCCCTTTGGGCGTCTTGGAGGCCACTTGGGCCGTCTGGGGGCCATCTGGAGCGTGTTGAAGCGATCGTTCGGCGACTCGAGGCCGTCTGGTACCGTCTTGTAGGCCTCTTCGGGGCCCTCTTCGCCCATCTTGGGGCCCTCTTGGGCCCGAAACGGTCACGCGTCAAGACACGACAAGCCCCAGGTGGCACGCGCCAAGCCCTGGAGACACCGGGAATGTGGGGTCCGGGCCCACTGCAAAATTCCTCCAGGAGTGGGGACTGAGGCTTGAGGGATTCGGCACAGGACCTCAGGACACGTCCACGCTGTGCCCAGCGTCACGGTGGCGGATCATGGCGAAAACCCAGGCACGCGCGGGTGCGAGTGGTGCAAGACAGAGGGGACGAAAGAGGAGCAATTCTTTATGGGACGACGAATCGTTTGACCCTGCCATTGGGGCTTTCAGTGCAGCTTCCTATGGGGCCACGAGACGTCTGAGGGTGTGCCGACAGGGGCGCTGTGGCGCCATGCGAACGCTGCTACTGGGGCCCCTGGTGGAACTCCCCATGGGGCCACGTAACGTGTGAGGGGTGTGCCCGAATGACTGCGGTGGCGGCGTGCCCCTGTCGCTGGAGCCTTCGGTGGAGCTCTCCTTGGGGCTGCGAATCGTGTGAGCGGTGGCGCCATCCGAGCCCTGCTACTGGGGCCTTCGGTGGAGCTCTCCCTGTGGGGGCGCAGAACGTGTGGTGGGTGTGCCGGAACAGCGGCAGGCGGAAGAAAGAGGTACGGATGGAAGGAAGGAAGAGGGAGGAGGAGGAGGAGGAGGAGGAGGAGGAGGAGGAGGAAGAGGAGGACCAGTGGGAACCAAAGAGTCATCAACGATGTGGGAAATAACCCTCCCTCCAACCCTCCTCTTCATGGGCCCCTACAACGGTTCATGTCCACTGAGGAAACTGCCTCGCAGATCCTGAAGCGTGCCAGAACATTGTTCTCGGGACTTCAACGCCACGTATCAACCTGATTGCTGCGTCTTGACGATCCAGAATCGTGCCAGAACGCCGTTCTTGGGATTTCAACACAGCGAATTAACAGAACTGTTGCGCCCGCAAACTCCAGAGTCCTTCCAGAACGCCAGTTCTGGTACGCTGATGATGGGAGTTCGTGAAATCTTGCAAATGTTTAAAACGAATGTGCGCAGCGCTAGGCGAGAGCCACATTTTGAAAACGACCGCCCTCAATTCATTGAACCCTTGCAACTGTTTAAATCGAAGGTGCGCGGCGCTAAGGCGAGAGCCACAGTTTGAAAAGGAACCGACCTCAATCCGTGAAGCTCTTGCACATGTTCAAGAACGAATGTGCGCGGCGCCAAGGCGAGAACCACTTCTTGAACATGAACCGCCTTCACTCCGTGAAGCTCTTGCAAATGTTTCAAAAGGAATGTACGCGGCGCCAAAGCGAGAGCCACGTTTTGAAAGCCACCCGCCCTCAATCCGTGAAACTCTTGCAACGTTTGAAAACGAATGTGCTGCGCTAAGGCGAGAGCCACATTTTGAAAAGGAACAGCTCTCAACCCGTGTAACTCTTGCACAGTTTTAATGTGCGCGGCGCTACAGCGAGATCCACATTTTGAAAATCACCCGCCCTCAATCCGTGAAATTCTTGCAACTTCTGAAAACGAATGTGTGAGGCGCTGAGGCGAGAGCCACATTTTGAAAAGGAGCCGCCCTGAAACTGTTGTCACTTTTAAGCTTCAGAGTCATACGTGGTAGGGAAGTCTCAGGCGAAACGCGTGTCGCCCTACAAGCTGGCTTCGGGTTGCTAGTGAGGAGTTATTTAGAAGAAGAAGGAATGGGGGAGGAGACAGAGGAGGAGGAGAAGGAGGAGTAGGAGGAGAGGAGGAGCGCGGTGTGCCTTCTCTTTTCAAAACGTGGACATGGTTGGGAAAAGACCGGGTGCGGGCCCTGGTGGGGACACTCCAAGTGAATATACAACGTGCACCTGGGGGGCATCAATTATAACCATGCAGAAAGCCGAGTTCAAGCAGAGTCCGCACGACGGGGCGCCACTTCGGCCACGCACTCAGGCACGGTGTCGGACACTTCGGCGCCCCCCCCCTTCCCATCCCCCCCCCTCCCTTCCCCCCTCCCCCCCTTTCCCCCCCCCCCCCCCCCTCCCCCCGCCGCAGGGACTCGCGGCCCTTGCCGCGGCGATCTCCTCCCCCAGGGAAACGCAGTCGCCGCGCAGGGCCGCCGTGCCGCCCCGGGCGGCCGCGGGCCCTCCGCAGTCGCCCGTGCAGGTCGCCCTGGCGTCGCCGCAGGCTGCCCCCCCGGGGGGGGGGGGCGGAGGAGGAGGAGGAGGAGGAGGAGGAGGAGGAGGAGGAGGAGGAGGAGGAGGAGGAGGAGGAGGAGGAGGAGGAGAGGAGGAGGAGCAGGAGGAGGAGGAGGAGGAGGAGGAGGAGGGAGAGGAGGAGGAGGTGGAGGAGGAGGAGGAGGCGGCGGCGGCGGCGGAGGAGGAGGAGGTGGAATGATAATCATAACAAGAAGAAGAAAAGGAGGAGGAGGAGGAGGAGGAGGAGGAGGGGAGGGGCGGAGGACAGGGCCCGTTTTGATTTCTCAGAGTCGGTCAGAGTTCAGTCGGGCCTGTGCCTCTACAGGAGGAGGATCCCAAAATAGTAGAAACAAATAGTCTGGGGACGATTATCGTTTTATGTTTTGGATATTTGTATTGTTCCTTCTCAAACCGCCTGTAGGAGGACATGCCCGACCGAAGGTTAGAGTTCGATGGCTTCCGAATTTGTTCCGACGTCAGATTCCGATGTGGATTCGGGTTTCTCCACGGAGTGTTATTGGCCTTGCCGATTTCCGCCGATACGATTTCTCCCGACTCGTCTGCCGAGTTCCGCCGATCCGGCTCATTTCGACCCCCGATCCGACTTATCGATTCGATCATGGGCTCTCCTGGGAGGAAGCCCTCTCGGGGCCGTCTTGAAGCTCACCTGGGATGGGGCGTCTTGAAGCTCTCCTTCGGAGCCTCTTAAACAATACTGGGCCGATAATGGAGGCGTCTCGGGCCGCCTTGAAGCGTTGGGACGCTTAAAAGGCGAGAAAACCACAATCCTTCAAAGACCATCGATGAACGAATGACTTTTGCCTCCTGGGAGGCCTCGTGGAAGCCTCTTGGGGCGTCTTGGAGGCCTCTTGGACAGTCTGGGACCAATTCTCCGCAATCAGGGGCCGGCATGGGCCGTTTTGGCGGTCCGGTCTCGAAGCGCGTTTTCAGGCAATCCGGGGCCGTCTTCGGGTGACCTTGGAACGCTTCCGACGCGCTGGCAGGGCCCCGGGCAGCCCAGTCCGCCCAGTTGTGGCCGAGGTTCCGGCCCAGGGGCCCCCAGACTTAAGTCGGGCCTGTCCTTCTACAGGAGGAATATTCAAAAATACTGAAAAAATAGTGTAGGGACGATTTTTTGAACATTTTTTTGCTATTCGGGGTATTTTTTGACTATTTTTGATGTTTCGTCGAAAATTCCCCTGTAGGGGGACATGCCCGATTTAACCCCAGACCCTCTCCCCCAATCTGCCATGGCGATACATAAATCGATATGATTATCTACCGGGCCCAGGATCACCTAGCC